AAAAAAGTACTCCAGAGTGTTGTTCAGCATGGGGGTGAGTAGAAAATGAAGGCTAATCATGTTTTGGGTGTACTATTCCTTTAACCCCCAAAATTAGTCCAGATAAAAGATTTTCATAAAAAAAACAGTCAGATTTGTTTCTACTGTATTCTATGCAATCCAATCATCCACCACAGCCTGACAATGAGTGAAAAGAAAAAGGAAACAAAAAATTTGATTATTAACGCAGACGCGGTACTGCGGCTGCAGAACTACGGTCACCGCAGGCATGGATGAACTGGGAATCCAGGGCTGTTGGCTAGTCTCATTCATTCTTCATACAGGTAAATCATTTCGTTATCTTGAGAAAACAATTAATGGTTTAACCGTGATAACGAGATAGTCATGTCATGATCTCTAGAAGGCAAAGAGAAAAAAAAAAAGTTTACTCTCGGTTTCCGTACATTTTGATTCTTTATTCCAACAAAAATTCTTGGGGTCATGAGTTTGGGAGATGTCAGCTTCCCTAAGACTGTTTTATTAGAAAAAGGCTGCTGGCGTTACCAGGCACTGATTTAAAAAAAGAGATAAGAAATGAACATCACGTGTGAAATTTGTGTTTTATTCATAGGGTTTTTAACTCTGAATCGTCTTATTATTACGCATCAGAATTTTTTTGACAACCTACATGCAAGTATATAAAATACATTCTGTTGGAACTATTTATTCTTTCTTTACCCATTTGAATTGCATTAATTCCTAATTTATTTTTTTCTGTATTATTTACAGAGTTTATTTGCAGGTTAATAATTTTTTTCTTATTAATTTACTTATTTTTTTGTTCTGAGGTATGACGGGAAGTGATGTGGATCAGTCCACTTTCTATAAGGACCAATAGGCATTTTTGGGTTTGGGGACTATTTTTTTTTACCAGAGCAAGAGAGGTAGGACAAAGGAAAAGTTTGAACTCTTTAATTGTTGGCTGATATAGAAAATAAACCATCATCAAGACTGGACATTGAACCTTATTTTTTCCTGCGTATAGAAACTTGACCCCAGTTGCTTAGTAGAGGCTTAAAGGAACTTTAATTGGATGTTTGGCTTGGCAAAAAATCTTCTTCTTAGATTTATTTGCTGGTTGGCAACAAACATTTAGTAGCATTACCGCCATTTACTGGTATGGAGTGTGCTTCGTGATGGACTATGCATAAATAAACATATATATAATTTCTTATGAAAAAAAAAAATTAAAACTACATACTTGAACATAGCTTTGTATTCTATCCGTCTTTATCATGCACATATTCACCCTCTCTATAGTCAAATTCTATGAAATAATATAGTTTTCTTTAAAAATCAAATAATTATTTGTATATGTTTACTCCCCAAATTCTTCCTCAAAATATCTACTAAATTTATCTTTCCCTTAATATATTCAAACTCTCCCCTCATATATATTCTCTCGCTTTCATATTTATGACATTCCAGTATAACATCTTCTATTGCTTCATATTTTCCACAGTAATCACATCTGCCATTAGTATGCTTTTGAATTTTGAAAAGTATAAAGTATAGTTAAGTCCTGTTTGCCCAAATCTTAACGTCGTTATCACTCTCTCCTCTTTTCTATTTCATCTTCCATTTCTCCTTTTTCCTACCATCTTCTGAATTTTATAAAACCCCCTTTGTGTTTTTTCTTCATCCCACCTTTTTTGCCATTTTTCTTTAAAAATACTCTTTCGGCAAACAATCACCACTACTACGGAAGAGGATTAGGGCCACTGTAAAAATGTAAAAAGTTAACTGATTTTTAAAATTTTATTTCAGTATAATATGATAAAAAAAAGTCAGAATTCTGACTTTATTCTCAGAATTCTGCCTTTAATTTCAGAATTTTGACTTTAATCTCAGAATCCTGGCTGAATTCTGACAGCTAACAAACATGCCGCAGTAATGTCTGTTTTAGAGACTAAACTAGCTCTCCTGTTTTAATCACCTTCTGCTCTTCCATTAATGAACTAGCATCACCAGTGACCCCCCAGGCACATAAAAAGT